GGCATGCTAGTCTGGTACATTGGTCTGGAACAGTAGTCTGACACGCTAGTTTGGTACATATATGTGGTAAATGACTCTGGTATTTGAGAAAGGTGCGTCGATCTGGTACATTTGTCTGGTACTTTAGTATGGTACCGGTGGTCTGGTGCCATGAGTTTGGTGCCGTCAGCCTGGTGCCATTCGTCAAATGCCATGTGTGATGCACATAAACTTGCATTTTAGTCTGGTACAGTAGCCTGGTACCGCTAGTCTGGTGCCATTCGTCTGATGCCATTAGGTCTGGAGCTAGTAGTCTGGTGCGTGAGCCTGGTACGGCTACTCTAGTGCCATCAGTCTGGCAATACAGCCCTCGGACGACCGCGAGGGGCCCCCGAGATGGCCCCCAGAGGGACCTGGGACAGCCCAAGAGAATTCCAAGACGCCTCTATCGCGCCCCATCAGGTCCCCATTAGTCTGATACTTTAGTCTGATTAGTCTGGTACATTAGTCTGGTACTTTAGTCTGGTACTTTAGTCTGGTGCTTTAGCCTGGTACTTTAGTCTGATTAGTCTGGCCCCTTAGTCTGCTACTTTAGTCTGGTTAATCTGGTACTTTAGTCTGGTACGTTAGTCTGGTACTTCTGTCTGGTATTTTAGTCTTGTACTTTAGTCTGGTACCACGCTTACGGTTAAGAACCCACCGCTTACGGTTAAGACCTCGTTTTGTCGTGGTGAGGGGTTCTTCGAAGACTCGTAATGCCATTTGGGCGCCATCTTTGGGCTCTCTTGGGGGTCTCTTGGGGCTCTCTTGAGGCTCTCTTAAGGCTCTCTTGGGGGGTCTTGGGGCCCTTTGGGGGCTCTTTTGGGGGGTCTGGGAGGCCTCTTGGGGCCGTCTTGAACCCCTTCGCTCAAAAAGAAGGTGGTCTGAAATTTAAGTCCCCCTCTCGGAAGTCCAAAAGGGGCGTCTTGGTGCCCTCTTGGACCGCTCTTGGACCGCTCTTGGGACCCTTCAGGGCCTCTATTGTAGCTAATTGTGTTGATCCATCTTGGGGCCATCTTGACACCTCAAGAGCCCAACGGAAGGGAAAAAGCGAAAAGGTATAAATATTATTATCCGTAGGTTCTGAACCCATTTTGGCCTCTTGATGGGGGTCCTTGGAAAGCTCGGAGGGCACTTGAAACCGTCTTGGGGCCGTCTTGGAGCCCCTTGGATGCGTGTCGGAGGCTATCTTGAGCCATCTCGAAGTATCTTGGGCCATCTTGGAGGCCATCTTGGGCTATCTAAAACCCTCTTGGAGCTATCTCGGGCCATCTTTGACGCTCTAACCCCTCACCCCCCCCCCTCCAGACCCAGGGAGGGGGGGAGGTAAACCTCCCGAGCAGGGAACGGAAGGAGGTTGGAAAAGGAAACGCTCTGGACCACCTGCGCCGAGAGTGCTGGTGAGATTTAGGTCGGGCATGCCCCCCTGCGGGCGGATTATGGCTAAAACAACGTACCCCAAAAATATTCCCAAATAGTCAAGAATACCCCTAATATCGTCCCCCGACTTTTTCTACTATTCTGGAACGTTCCCCCTGTAGAGGGACAGGCCCGACTTAAAATCAGCCCTGTAGCCGATCCCCCACTCGAAGGCTGCGAGGGGGGCCTCCCTCGTGGGGCCCAGCGCCTCCCTTTGGGAGGGGCTCCGAGGAGGCCTCTCTGGCGGGCGCCGGGCCTCCAGGGAGGGGGGGCGAGGCCTCCTTCGAGGGGCCCTTGCCAGACCCCCTCGCGCTGTGACAAAAATCACGACGGGAGGTTTGTCGCTATTCCGGCCTCCCAGGGGCCCTTACCGGCCCCGGGCACGACTCAGGACGAAAAGCCGGTCCAAGGGAAGGGGTCCAGGTCGACATCGGGGGGTCGACGTTGCGGAAAAATCCCGACGTCGAGGGTCTGGGTTGCAGGATCCTGCGAGATCCTGCAGGATCCTGCGCGATCTAGCTCAGGTCAATGCATCCCGGGTCTTCTTCGAGGGGCCTGGCGCATCCCCCTGGAGGGCTCCCCTCCAAAAAAATTGCAGCGTTGCAGCTGTTGTGCAACCGGCGTCGTCTTCGCTCCCTTTCGGGCCCTGGGACCCTGACATGTATAGACCGATCAAGCTCGAAACATGACGCAGCACGATGGGGCCCGGGGCTCCGGGCGACTTGTTGCGATGCTGCGTTTTTTTGACCGCTGTAAAAACCGCTTCAAAAAACCCTAACCCTATCTTCCGTATCTTCCACAATTTCAGCTGTCGAAGATATGGAAGATCTGGCAGATCAACTTACGATCTGGAAGATTAACTTAAGATGTGTAAGATCAACTGAAGATCAGCTACCAGAACTTCAACTTAACTCTCATATATTTGTTTGACGATATCAGTGCCGCGGCGGATCCCAGCGTCCGAGGAGGCCTCTCCGGCGGGCGCTGGGCTCTCGGCGGCTCGCTCTGGCCGGGCGAAGGGGGAGCGGCACTCAGCAAAGGGTCCCGGCCTTTGCAGGCGTGGGCATTGTGGGGCCCGCGGCCCCGGGCCACGATCGCTTCGCCAGGGGTGCTCGCCAGCGGGGGGAAGTGTGAAGGGGCCCTGGGACACACAGAGAAATACGCACAAATAAAAAGATCTCCCATATTTCCACATATTTTCGGAGTTTCTGTCTTCCCCCCCACTTCCCATATTTTCCCATATTTTTCTGGGGGTCGGCGATTAATTGTGTCTGTGTGTTTTTTCCCTTCCTGAAAACGTGCAGAAACAAGAGGTAGGAAGGCGTTGGAAGCAGATTGGGCTTCCGCCCGCCCCCTGAAGAGGAGGGAGGAGGGAGAACCACTCGGTTCTTGGAGTAGCCGAGAAGACCTGCTTTCAACGACCGACGTGCAGTGATTCGTCAGGGACGGTTTTTCTTTTCAGGGGGGAGATGGGGGCGGACAGCATGATTCGACCGTGGGGCGGAAATGCGTGCAGTCATAAGCGCTGCACGGCCAAGTCGCCTCTTCGTCAAGGAGCTAAATGCGTGATGGCGCCTGGGGGGCCCGAGCATGGCCCCCGAGGGCCGACATCTAGGAAGACGGGCGGCCAAACACCATCAGATCGCCGGACATCTGGGCGACGATAAAAAACGGGTCCTGCGCGATATGACATAGCGCATAGCGACCTTACGCGGTGGCTTACGCGGGCCGCTGGCGCGGCACGCCTCAATGGAAGCAAGGTATACGCGCGACCTTACGCGGGCAGCTTACGCGCCGCTGTCGGCGAAGGCGACCCCGTGTCTGTGCGTCGCTCATCTGTGGGGGCGCGATTCGCGTACACAGCCCTCACAGACAAGCTGGTCTCGCACAAGACCGCGGTCACGAACAAAAACGGCATCGCCTGGGGACACGATGCTCGCACAACACCCCCGCAAACCAGCTGGTCCGGCACGAGGTACGCGGGTAGGGGTGGCCATAAATCGGCCCCCAAATCTGAGGTGGGGGGTCGGCGAATGCGCTGCGCGCAGCCATCTTTCAACACGGGGCCCCTGGACTTCCCGACCCCTCTCCCCGCGGACCGGCTTTCCGTCCTCAATCCTTCGTTGACGCTCCCCAGGGCCCCTTCTGTTGCCAGCAGGGGCCCAAAAGGGGTTCTTCTGGGCCCTTTTCTTCACCCCCCCCCCATGTAGGCCACCCGCCATTACCACCCGCCCGACCAATTCTTTCCACGCAACATCACCCATCACCCCTGGAGAAACCGACAGGTACCGATACGGCTACCCCTCGGAACTCTCCCAGGGTGCGTTCTGACCAGAATTTCGAAGCGAATCCAGTCGGGGATGGACAGACCTCCTTCTAGTAAAACGTGGTTTAGTGAAAACGACCTGCTTCCCAAACCTGGCGGGCGCCAGCCTGGAAAATAACGGCCGCGGCGCCCTCTCGAGAACCGAACACGGACAATTCGCTAATCGACGTGTCACTGCTGGGGGTTCTGTCCACCCCCGATCCGGCAGTGGCGACGAGAGCCTCCCAGGACGCCTGCAGAGGGGAGAACGGGCGAAGGGTACGTATAGTTGGAGGTATGGGTGCCTTTTCCTCCTCCGATCCCCCAGTGCTTTAGCTCGCGCGCGTGCCGCTCGCAGCACGAGCCCGGGCAGACGTGACCTCTGGTGCGCGACTCCTCCGGGGGCCCTGGGTGGGCCAAAGCCAATCGCGCAGGGCCAGGGCCGGGGGGGAGCCCTCTGAGGGCCAAGCCCCAAGGCGCAGGGCCAGGGCTGGGGGGGAGCCCTGTGATAGCCCGCGCGACAGGTCGCTCCAACGAAGGGCCACTCTTGCCCGGCATGAGCTGGTTTCGCCGGCGCTGGTTTCGCCCCGGCCCAGGTCCCCGACGATCATACGGTTTCCTTCAGCCGGCGCCTATTCCCCGTTCTCGGGCCTCGGGGTCCGTGCTCGAGCCACCGGGGAGCATCACACACTGATCTGGGAAGAACCCCCCCCCCTCCCCCGGTGAAGCGGTCGGGACCTCCCCAGAGGGTCGCCTGCCTCACATTTCGAGCCCTGGCCTTAGATTTTCTGGCCTCGCCTCCGACCAAGTTTCGGTCTGCGTCCCCGTGCGTGCGCCGGAACACTCGACAACTTTCGGCAGTCGGCGAACACGTTTTCCACTCCTGGGAGCCGCGGGCGTGAAGCGGTCGGGACCCCTGCGGCCGCGGACGGAAGGAGTCGCACCGGCAGGTGACAAGGGCCGAGGGGGCTCGAGGATGGACAGACCTCCCTTTAGTAAAACGTGGTTTAGTGAAAACGACCTCGGGCCCAAACCTGGCGGGCGCAAGCCTGGAACATAACGGCCGCGGCGCCCTCTCGAGAACCGAAAACGGACAATTCACTGATCGACGTGTCACTGTTGGGGGTTCTGTCCACCCCCGAGGGGCCCTTTTGGAGGGCAAGGGGGTGGATGTCGGGGCTGCTCGCCCGGCCCGAGGGGCGAGGCGGGGCGCCGCTGCCCCTGGGAGGCCACCCGGCTGGGCGCCCCCCGGACGGGCCTGGCCCGGGAGCTCCAGCGACGCCACGAACTCCTCGGAAGAGGAGCAAAGAAAACAACATAGGCACACACACACACACTTTCGAGGGTCCGCGTGGATGTCTTGGATCGGCGGTGGAGCCCCCCGCCCTAGAGGGCGGAGCCCGCCAGGGGCGGCGCCAGAGACGCCGCCAGGGGGCCCAGCGCAGATCAGAACAAATCCGCGCGCACCCTCGGAGACACGTGTTGCCCCACACCCTAACGTGGCGTTATTGCTCTTAGTGTGATGCCCCCGCCTCCCACTCCTTCCTCTCTCATCTTCCTTATCCTTTCAACTCATTTGTCCACTCATACTCAATCACTCTCAGTTGTGCACTCGAAGACTTTCCTATGTCGTCTATCACATTACGGCAAGGCTCCCTCCAAGAACCATGTCACCGAATGAAGTGGGACGGGGGAATCGACAAGCTGCCTTGCCGCAAGGCTGTCCTCGCCGTTTCCTCCCGGGTGACATGAAGACGCTGGCGCGGAAGAGATCGGCGCGAGCCCATCGAACAGACAGAACCACCAACGCACAGGCGCGAGCCCATCGCGCAGAAGCACCAACCACCAACACAGCTCAGCAGAACCTATGACATCGCGCGCGCAGGGGGCGGGCGGAGAGCAGCGCGAGAACGAGAAGAGACGCTGACTTTTATGATTCATCCTCTTCTTCTTCTTCTTCTTCTTCTTTGACTCCTGCACAGCCTTCGCGTCCCAGCGGGACAGGTCGTGCGACTGCCGCTGCCTCCACTGCTCCTCCCGCCAGGCGGTGAGGAGCTGGACCACCTCGGCGTCGGCCTCCTTCAAGACCCACAGGTCCTGCTCGACCTCGACGTTCATCTCGCGGTGCCACCGCGGGTCGATGAAGGCCTCCTGCTTCACGGCCTCCGGGTCGTACTTCTTCTGGATGGAGCCGCCGACCTGGAAGGGAAGAGTGCAGGACAGGAGGAGGAGGAGGGCGGAGGAGGAGGAGGGCAGAGAAGGAGGAGGGCAGAGAAGGAGGAGGAGGAGGAGGAGGAGGAGGAGGAGGAGGACAGGAGGGGGAGGAGGAGAGAAGGGAGGGAGGAAGGAGGAGCGGAGGAGAGAGAAGGAGGAGGAGAGAGAGGAGAGGAGGATGAGGAAGAGGAGGAGGAGGAGAGAAGAGGGAGAGGAGGAGGAGAGGCGGAGAAGAGGAGGAGGAGAGAGAGAGGAGGAGGCAGGAGGAGGAAGCCCAATCCTCCCACCACCCTTCGTTCGACGACGCGCCGCGCACGTCCCAGGCCCCCGAGCAGCACCGTCCCGAGCCTCTCCCGCCCCTGCCGCCGCCCCGCCGCCCCCGAGCAGAGGGCGACACGCCGAAAGCCTGCTAGGCGCAGCGTGCCACACACACACACATACACACACACACGCGCGCACACACACACGCACGCACGCACGCACGCACGCACACACGCACGCACGCACGCACGCACGCACGCACCCGCACGCACGCACCCGCACGCACCCGCACGCACGCACGCACGTAAGCACGCACACACACACACACACCAACACGCACAAACACGCACAAACACGCACGCACGCACGCACGCACGCACGCACCTACACACATACACACACACACACACGCACACACACACACACACGCACACACACACACACACGCGCGCGCACACACACACACACGCACACGCACACGCACACGCACACGCACACGCACACGCACACGCACACGCACACGCACACGCACACACACACACACACATACACACGCACACACACACGCACACACATACATACGCGCAGAAGCAAATATACACAAATCGCAGGACTCTCCATATCGTCCCATATCTCCTTGGTTTCCGTCTTCCCCCCCACTTACCGTATCTTCCCCCATGTTCCTGCGAGTCGACGATTTCATTGTGTCTGTGCGTTTGTGTCCCCTCCTGAGCTTCTTCTCTGGTGACTGGCCAGCATCAGCGTGGTGAAGGCCATTCTCACGCTCTGCCGCCCAAAAAGAGACCCCCGGTGGCCCTTCCCTCCCGAGGTCCGTCCTCTGGCCCGTTTTCCCAAGTTCGGACTCTCGGACACGCGGCGAGAACAGGCCTCCATGGAGGCGCGCAATAAGAAGGACGACAAACGACAAGCAGGGCCGCCGTCATTTCGATTGGTTCTCCTTTGATCTCTGGGCGCGAGATCGGGGCCTGTGAGATCGCGATGTTCTCACAACGTGGCAATGGACATTGGCCCAAAGGCAGCTTTTTTCATGATGCCGAGCCGTGTTTCTGTGGGCCCCCGGGGCCTGGTAAGGGCGCCTCTGCGGGCCGGAAATGCATGCCCCCCCCCTCCCCCCCGTTGCGACTTTGTCTATGCTGTTTTAAATCTCTCCTCCAGGCGGCCAGCATCTCCGTGTTGAAGGCGTGCAGCTTCAGTTGCGAGGCGCGGGCGTCCTTCGGGTGCTCCGCACAACCCAGACCCCCGACGTCGTGATTTTTTCGCAACGTCGACCCCCAGAGGTCTGGACCCCTTCCCCAGGACCAGTTTTTCACCCTGAAGCGTTTTTTGCCGCCCCCCCTCGTCGGACGCCCTCGCAGGTCCTGCAGCTTCGAGTGCAGCGCGTGCCCGCGGCCCTCCAGGGCGCCGAAGCCGCCCTCGGAACCGGCAGCCTCGCGCCCGCCGCGGCGGGCGGCGGGCTGCGCCCGGCCGCTCAGGGGCTCCTGCTGTGGAGGGGAGACGGGCCCAGACCCCCTGGAGCCAGAAATTCTGGGGGCGACGAAAGGTCCCTCCTCCTCCTGCTACTCCTCCTCCTCCTCCTCCTCCTCCTCTCCTCCTCCTCCTCCCCTCCTCCCTCCTCCCCTCCCCCTCGCCCCGCCCGCCCCCCTCCCCTCCCCCTCCTCCTCCTCCTCCTCCTCCTCCTCCTCCTCCTCTCCTCCTCCTCCTCCTCCTCCTCCTCCTCCTCCTCCTCCTCCTCCTCCTCCTCCTCCTCCCCTCCCCTCCCCTCCCCTCCCCTCCTCCCCTCCCCTCCTCCTCCTCCTCCTCCCCTCCTCCTCCTCCTCGTCCTCGTCCGTCCTCCTCCTCCTCCTCCTCCTCCTCCTCCTCCCTCCTCCTCCCCTCCCTCCTCCTCCTCCTCCTCCTCCTCCTCCTCCTCCTCCTCCTCTTCCTCATCTTCTTCCTCCTCCTCCTCACATTATGCGTATAATTATGTTTGTATTTCTTTTGCGGCAGAAATCGAGAGCGACAAATGGCAGGGCAGGAGCATGTTGTGATATTGATTTGATTTATACTCTTTTACATATGATAATGTTTATTCGTCTTCTTACCCATGTTAGTAATAGTATTGGTTGTGTGCATGTGCTTCTTCGTCGTCATACTATAGTTCGTAGTAGTACTGGTACCACTGTTATGTTTACCACGCTACGTTCTAGTATTATTTTCTTATTCTTGATAGGACTTGTCTTATTCATATGCCTCGTATTCATTTGAAAATTAAGCTGTTATTAGTATGGATAGTAAGGTTATGATTCGTGATCTTATGCGTGGTTTGTCTATTCATATTATTCCTCTTCACACTCGTATTACGGGTGTCATAATTAATCGTCTTATTATTCGTAGTATTCGTATTCCTCTTCTTCTTCCTCCTCCTCCTCCCCCTCCCCCTCCTCCTCCTCCTCCTCCTCCTCCTCCTCCTCCTCCTCCTCCTCCTCCTCCTCCTCCTCCTCCCCTCCTGCTCCCTGCTCCTCCTCCTTCCTCCTCCTCCTCCTCCTCCCCCCCTCCTTCTCCTCCTCCCCTCCTCCTCCTCTTCCTCCCCCTCCTCCTCCTCCTCCTCTCCCTCCCCTTCCCTCCTCCTCCTCCTCCTCCTCCTCCTCCTCTCCTCCTCCTTCCTCCTTCCTCCTCCTCCTCTCCGCCTCCTCCCCTCCTCCTCCTCCTCCTCCTCCTCCTCCTCCTCCTCCTCCTCCTCCGCCTCCTCCTCCTCCTCCTCCGCCATCCTCCTCCTCCGCCATCCTCCTCCTCCTCCTCCTCCTCCTCCTCCTCCTCCTCCTCCTCCTTCCGCCCCCTCCTGCTCCTCCTTCTCCCCTTCCTCCCTCCCTCCTCCTCCTCCTCCTCCTCCTCCTCTTCCGTCTCCTCCTCCTCCTCTCCTCCCCTCCTCCTCCTCTCCTCCTCCTCCCTCCTCTCTCTCTCCTCCTCCTCCTCCTCCTCCTCCTCCTCTCCTCCTCCTCCTCCCTCCCTCCTCCTCCTCCTCCTCACCTCCTCCTCCTCCTCCTCCTCCTCCTCCTCCTCCTCCTCCCCCCTCTTCCTCCTCCTCGTCCTCCTCCTCCTCCTTCTCCTCCTCCTCCTAATCCTCCGCCTCCTCGCCCACTCTGCGTTGAGCAAGAGTCCCCAATCTTCGGGCCCGAACGACCCCTGAGATCCTGGCGTCTCGACTTCTTCGAGCTGAACGAGCCAAAATGGCTACGGAAAATATCTCGGTGGATGTAATGGGTGATAGTGGTAGATGGTGGTGCGCAGGTGCGCGTGCGCGTAGGATGATCGCCGCGGAGGTGGTAGAAAGAAGGCAACCGACGTATGCGATAAGAAATCTGGTAATTAGACATCGTGGTGCACAGTCTTTGTCGATCTCTGGGGGTCCTGACGTGCCCGAGAGCGTCCGTGGGCACGCTGGACCATCGGGGGAGAAAGAACTTCCGCGGGGCACCTTCCGGCTGGCCGGCTTGTGTATAAGGTGCCTTTTATGTGGTGGCAGGACGGAGACCCAGACCCCGACGTCATGAATTCTTCACAATGTCGATCCCAAAGGTCTCCACCCATTCCACGAGACCAGTCTTTCACTCGTCTTTTGACGGTCCCGAGGCCCGGTGAAGGGCCCCCAGAGGTCGAAAATCGCAAAAGCATCCCGTCGTGATCGCAAAAGAATCGTCGTGGTCGTTGCAAGACACATGAAACTAGTAACACAAATATTCGAACATGGTCAAACGTAGTCGAAAAATCGTCCCCAGACTTTTGCTGTTGACTGTTCTTGAACATTCCTCCTGTAGAGGGACCGACCCGACTCAAAAGTGCACTGGGATGGTGGTGCTGCGCGTGATGATCACCGAAACGGGCAGCCGCCCGGCGCAGGTGCTGCTGCCAGGAGGGAGGAGGAGGAGGATGAGGAGGAGGATGAGGAGGAGGAGGAGGAGGAGGAGGACGAGGAGGAGGAGGAGGAGGGAGGAGGAGGAGGAGGAGGAGGAGGAGGAGGAGGAGCCAAGCGTGACGGGCTATACGACTTGGCGGCACGGCTCCTCCAATCCTGATTCGGACATGATCGCGTCGTAAAAAAAATCAGGACGGCAAATGTTTGACCCTTTTCGGCCTCGGCCCTCGCCGGGCCTCGGGACCGTCAAAAAACGACTCAGGACGAAAAACCGGTCCTGGGGAAAGGGTCGGGACTTCCAGGGACCCCCTGTTGAAAAAAACAAGACGGCGCATGTCTGAGGAGGCGAGGCCAAGACGAGGATCAAATCGGGTGAGATCGAGAGCCTCTGAGATCCGGCGGCTCTGGAGGAGAGGATGCCTCGGGCGACGCGGCCTTCCCAGAGCGTTCCGGAACGCTCAGAAAGCGCTCCAGGACGCTCTGGAACGCATTTTGTCCGTCGCAGCGCGGCAGAGGCAATCCGCACGCGCGCGCTGAGAGCCTGGGCGGGGCTTCGTACAACCTGTCCGGCGGCAAACCTCGTCCCCAGACATCCTCCAGTGTGGTCTTGTCCATCCGCGGCCCCAGAGCTCCCGAGCCCTTCCCTGTAGGGGGAGAAGATTGATTTTGCGTCTCGGATGCCTTTTTGTGGTGGTCCCCGGTCCCGATGACGGGCCCGGAGGTCGAGATCAAGGAAACACGCCCTGATTGGAAAGTCCGATCGCTGGAGATTTGGGTCCGAGCCTCAGGTCGGGCATGTGCTCCTACACGCGGATCTGGGAGGAAAAATAGGAGACAGGCAAAACACGTTCGAACGTAGCCAAACAAAAAGAATCGGAACATCGTCCCCAGACTGTGTTTGTCCTGTTCTCGAATACTCCCCCTGGAGAGCGACACGCCCGACTCGACCCTACCCCTGTCCGAAGTCCCGGCGGCTTCTTTCCTCGATCTGAGGCCTCCGGGGCCCGGGCTCGGGTCCTTCAGCGGGGGGCATCCAGAGCGGATCCGGGGCGACGAGCTGCCCTTCCTGGGGGGAGAGGCTGAGACCTCCTGGGGCCTCGTGCTGGAAAAAGATCCGCATCGCCAGATCTCTGGGAAGACGAAGAAGAAGAAGAAGAAGAAGAGAAAGAAGAAGAAGAAGAAACAACAAAAATAATATTTTGTGGATGGTGGTGCATGTGATGATCGAGATCCCTCGACCCGCATCTTCCCCACCTTCCGCGCCGCAGATGCTGCGCTGCTGCGGCCGCCGAGGCCGCAGCGACGGCCGCGGCGGCCGCCGCGGCCGCATCGCGGCGGCACCTTCCGCGTTGAAGGTGCGCAAGGCGCAGGTCGAGGGACAGACGGTCTCCCCCTTGGCTTCGGTCGGGTCCCGAGGGCCATGCCCCCCAACCGTGCCCAGCACGACACCCTCCCGATGGGGAGGCCGGCCCTTCGACGACATGAGCAGACAGCTTCCAGAGGTCCGCGCGGACTTCTCGGATCGGCGCTGGAGCCCCCCTGGCGGCGCCTCTGGCGCCGCCCCCGGCGCGCTCGCCGCGCGCCCGGCGGGGGCCCTGAGCTCCGACACCGCGAGAAACCGCAGCATCGCGAAGGCACAACGACCGGAGGGCCTTCGAGACCCCATCTCTTCCTGCTGCCCCTTCCGAGCCAGAGCGACCCCGTGGTGGCCCTGGGGCCCGACAGCGGGCGAAACCGCCCGGCGTGGAAACGCATTTCGGCGGTGGACGAACCTCCCTTTTTAGTAAGCCTCCCCTTCGTGAAAACGGCCTGGGATTGAAGCCGGCGGACCCGGACCCGCAAAAATGGCGGCCGCGACGCCCTCTCGCGAACCGAACACGGCCAGTTCCTCAGTCGACGTGTCAGGGTAGGAGGTCTGTCCTCCCCCTCGAGTATGGGCGCCCGGATCTCGGGGGGAGCCCAGCGCCGATCCAAAAAGTCCGCGCGGACCTTCTTTTCTCTTCGCAGGGGGCAGCAGAAGCCACCCCCATAAGAAGCACCCCGACGAGTGAAGCCTGTGGTAAACAGGGAAGGGATCGAACAGGGCAGGGCTGCTTACCCAGATATGCGACGTCCTGAATTCTTTTTAAGACGGGGTCCCTGGAAGTCCCGACCCTTTCCTTTGGACAAATTTTTCATCCTGGGTCGTTTTTTGACGGTCCCGAGGCCCTGCGAGGGCTCCCAAAGGCAGAAAAAGGCTATTTTTACGACGCGGTCATGTCTGGGTTTAGTAAACGCCGATTGTGGGTGTCGGGGTGCATTCTCCTCCCTTGATTTCGGCCTGCGGCGACCGCATCATGCCTACGTGCTGCAGCGAGTTGAGGGAGTGCTCCACGTCCGTGGGGGACGGCGAGAGCGTGGAGATCACCACGGTGCGGTGGGCCTCGTCCGTGAAGCAGGACTGCAGCAGGTGCGTGAGCAGCGAGGAGCGGAGGCCGAGGAAGGAAACAAACAAAAATCTGCAGAAGCATCAGCTTTCGGGGCTTCGTGTGGATCCCTTGGATCGGCACGGGGGCCCCCCAGCGGCGCCTCCGGCGCCGCCCCTGGCGCGCTCTGCGCGCCGGGGAGGGGGCATCAGCGCCGATCCGAGAGCTCCTCGCGGAGCGCCGAACGTTTATGCTCAGGTTGTTTTTCCCCTCCTCGAGGAAGGGCACGTGCCGCTGCTTGCCGGGGGCGCCCCCCAGGAGGCGCCGGTTGTGGTGCATGATGCGCGCGCACTCCTTCAGCATCAGCAAGGAGTAGTTGATGCTGCCGCCCCGCTCTGCCATGGAGCGCGTGTGCTGCTGGGTCTCGTAGTTGCGCTCGGACCCTGCGAGATCCACCAAGCGGAGCACGCCGCCGCCCACACCCCCGGCGCAGCCCTCCTGGGAAGCCCCGAAGATCCGACGTCGCGCAAAAAATGCAACGTGGTCAAAAATCACGGACTGAGCCCCAGACACCCCATCTTTCTGCTGCATGCTTCGAGCTGCATCGCTATGCGATGGCCCCAGGTCCCGAAACCAGGCGAAAACGCCTGGCGCAAAACACTTGCAACGCCCACATCTCGGACAACCCCAGAAATGCGGCATCTTGATTTCTCAATGCGGGGTCCCCGGAAATCCCGACCCTTTTTCCCGGACCGGCTCTTCCTCCTGAGTCGTTGTTTGACAGTTCCGAGGCCCGGCGAGGGCCCCCCGAGGCCGCAAACGGCCACCAGCCCGCCGTCTTATTTTTTTTTGCTCGACGCGACCATGTCTGGGATTGCAACGCCCACATCCCAGACCACGGCAGCTCAAACTGAGACCTGAACCCTCCCTGGGGCCTGAACGCACCAGGCCTTCCGCGCTGCGCCCCGCCGTGGCGACGGTCGGCCGCCCGAAGCTGCCCAACTAACTATACCGTCGTCTCCACTCGCCCTCCTCTGATCCTGGGAGTCTGGGCAGCCCAGGTGCAGCTCGACGATGGCGTGGGACCGCGAGGAGGACTCGTTGCGCTCGGTGCTCTCGCTGATGGGCCTGTTTTCCACCACCACCACCACCATATGTTGGAGGGGGAGGGGGTACTCCTCCTCCTCCTCCTCCTCCTCCTCCTCCTCCACCTCCTCCTCCTCTTCATCCTCCTCCTCCTCCTCGTCGTCCTCCTCCTTCTCCCGTCCAACTTATGGTGGTGGCGGTGGAAAACAAGCCCATCACTCGCTGGAGCGCCGCGCGAAGGCCGCCGCAAGCGCTGCGCGGAAGTCCGCGGCGCAGCCGCACTCCGCGGCCCGCGCGCCCCGGACGTGCACCTCTGGCGTGAGGGAGGCCCCGACCCCCTCAGGTTAAGTCGGGCGTGTCCCCCTACACGGATTTTGGACGAAATATAAAAGATATTGAAAAATGATCCCAAATCGTCAACAAATATTCAAAAAATACTCCTCCTGCCATTGTTGGACTATTTTTGAATTTTCCCCCTGTAGAGGAACAGGCCCGACTTAACCGTCGGGTCGTGGAAACAGTGCGCCAATCAATCAATCGATCAACAACGCCGCGTCTGCACGACACGTCGGCTGAAGACGCGCCGCGGGCTGGAGGCGCATGTCCAGGCCAGGGCACGGAAGCCAGGGACCCTTCGAGACGAGGTGCGCCGGCTGGCGATGGTCCTCCGCACGCGCGGGCTGCAGTGCCCAGGCCGGAGAGGTCGCGCCCAGAAGACCCCGAGCAGCATGAGCCGCCGCCGCGCCTCTGGGCACGGAGCGGGCGCGGCCCCAGGTCCTTTGCAGTCCTGGGGCCTCAGTCCTCGGTCCGGAGGGGTCTTCCAGGGGCCTGGCCCCGATGTCCCAAGTCTCCTGGGGCTTGTCGCATCATGCCGCCTGACTTCTTCGGAGCCAAGAAGGCCCCAGGAGGGGCCAAGACCGTACACCCCCCGTCCCGCCCGCCAAGCACACACCCTGCACGCACAGCCGTACACACGCACCCAGCCACACACAAGCACGCACAGACACACAAAAACACGCACACACGCACACACACACAAACACGCACGTGCACAGGCCACGCGCAACACCTGACCAAAGCAAGCGCAGGTAACCACTAAACATAAGCTACCAATGGCAAGCATCTGGGCATGTATGGGATCCCAGCGATTACACCCCATGCGCACACATGCATGTTGGGTGCAGCTCCATGCGCGCGTGCGCACGCAAGCTCAGAGAAGCAGCGGCGCTTCCCGTTCTTATCCCGGAATGTTCCCTTCAAAATGGGCGTTTCGTCAGAGACATCTTCGAAAAATGAGATCCTCGAAAAAGTGAGGTGTTGAAATCGTATGTTTGAGACGCCGTTCGTTATACACGGAGCTATTGTTCGACGCATCTTCGAAACATGAGCTACTGAGCTCGCTCGCGAAATCCAGCGACCTTTGGAAATTGCCACTTCGCACGAGACATCATCCTCAACCGAGTTGTTGGAGCAGTTGCCCTAAAACTCTGTTCGATAACATCGAGGCCCTCGCTGAAGAGATCCTCGAAGCGCCTTCTCGGAACAAAACGGCGATGGGAATGTGTTAGGCTATGCTGACTAAGAAATAGGTCGAAAACAAACCCGCGAAAGACAACTGGCTCGCGATCGCATAAGGTAATTAGCTTGGCGGATGACGGGACGCGCCGTTTCGGAACAAGAAGGCGATGTGAGTTTGTTAGGCTATGCTGAATAAGGAATTAATGAAGAACACTCTCGCGAAGGACAACTGGCTCGCGATCGCAAAAGGTAATCTGCTTGGCGGGTGACGGGAAACGCCTTCTCGGAACGAGAAGGCGATGGGAGTTTGTCAGGCGATGCTGAATAAGGAATAAACAGAAAACGAACTCGCGAGGGACAACCAATTCGCGATCGCAAAAAGTACTGTAACTTGCTTGGCGGATGACGGGAAGCGCCTTGTCGGAACGAAACGACGATGGGAATTGGTTAGGCTATGCTCAATAAGGAATAAATGAAGAACAAACTCGCCACGGACAACTGGTTCGCGGCTGCAAAGGGTAATTTGCTTGGCGGATGACAGGAAGCGCCTTGTCGGAACGAGACGGCGATGAGAGTTTGTTAGGCTATGCTGAGCAAGGAATCAATGAAGAACAAACTCGCGAGGGACAACTGGCTCGCGATCGCAAAAGGTAATTAGCTTGGCGGATGACGGGGAAATGAGCGTTTCGCTCGAGACATCCTCGAACACCTGAGATGTTGAAACCGCATGTGTGAGACTTCTTTCGTAAACAATGGGGCTCTCGCTCGAGACATCCTCGAACAATGAGCTACTGAGCTCGCTCGCGAAATCTAGCGAATCTTTCGGCCATGCGAGTCAAAAGCTCGGCGCGTTAAAGCGGCCATGCGGATTCAAACGTCAAGCAAGACAGGCGAGCACAATCATCATCATCAACATCATCGTCATCATCACCACCAGCATCATCAGCATTAGCAGCATCATCCACATCATCATCATCATCATCATCATCATCATCATCATCATCATCATCATCATCATCATCATCATCGTCATCGTCATCGTCATCGTCATCGTCATCGTCACCATCATGGACAGTATCACGGTCATCGCCATCGTCATCATCATCGTCAGTGTCATTGCCATCGCGGATTGTCACACGACGCAATACACGACGCATGCAACACACAGAACACACCACACACCCCCAACACGCAAATGGCCATATAGATACGTACACCACGCACAGATCATACTCATGGCGTGCATCCCCCCACCCGTCTCCCACAAAACACATCCCGCACGCCCGCTGTACGCCCCCCCCACCCGTCGTCCCCAGAACGTACCCCGCACGCCCACCTTACATCCACCCGCCCGTCCCCCCCAGAGCACACCCCGCACGCACGCCGTAAACCCCCCGTCCCGCCCGCCCAGCACACGCCCTGCACGCGCAGCCGCACGTGCGCACACAGCCGCACACAGGCACACACAGACACACAAACACACGCACACAAACATGCACAGGCCAGGTGCAACACCTGACCAAAGCAAACGCAGGCAACCACTAAACATAAGCTACCAATGGCAACTATCTGGGCATGCAGTGGATCCTGGCGATTACACCCCATGCGTAAACATGCGCGTTGGGTGCAACTCCATGCGCGCCTGCGCGCGCGAGCTCAGAGAAGCGGCGCTTTCCGTTCTCGTCTGGGAAGGTAGAACGAAGAGGCGTTTACAACGAACGTCGAAGCGAGGCCCAACGTTTGAAACTAACGTTTGAACGGAGCTGGTGCCAAACGAAAACGAAAGACGACACGGGGCGCTTGAAACAACAACGAAACAACGAGACGAAACAACAACGAACAACGACACGAAAAACACAGCAAGGGCCCAAACCAACCAAACCAACCGAAACAACGTTCCTCCTCCTCCTGCTGCTGCCGCGACCCCAGCACCCGTCCACCTGTAGGACGGGTGTCCACTGGCGTCAGGCGTGTGAGGATAGTCCATGCGCGCCAGGCCGAGCAAATTAACCACAGTGCTCTTAAAAACCCTCACTCCACGGGTGTGTGTGTGTGTGTCCATCAGGTTTTTTTTTTCGGCGCCCGGGCGGGGGGGCGACAGCCCGCCTGGACGCCGGCGACAGGACACACCACGAAAAAAAACGACCCGGGGGAGGGGGGAGGGAGGAGGGGGCAGGAGGGAACCGGAAGGCGGAGGAGACGGACGCGGGGCGGGGAGGTGAGAGCCACCAGACCCCCCCCAGCCGCCCTGTGAACTTCCGAGCCGCCCTGTGTCCCCACACCCCCTCGGGTCATGAAGAAATCACGGCGGGAGGTGTTTCGCTACTTTCGGCCTCTGTGGGGGCCCTTGCCGGCCCTCGGTGCCGTCAAAGAACGGCTCGGGATGAAGAGCTGGTCCCGGGGAGTGGGTCGAGACCTCTGGGGGTCGACGTCCTTCATCAAATGCAAGCACCGACCCCAACGATGCTTGAAACCGAGTGGCATTCACAACGAACAGCGAAACCCAGACCCCCGACGTAATGATTTGTTCATAACGTCGACCCTCAGAGGTCTCGACCCATTCCCCTGGACTGGTTCTTCATCCTGAATCGTTTATTGACGGTCCCGAGGTCCGGTAAGAGCCTCCAGAGGCAGAAAATATAGAAAAACATCACGTCATGAATTTTTCACTACCCAAAAAGGTCTGGGAACGACGAGGCCCAACATTTCAAACCAACGTTCGAAACGGAGCCGGTGCTAAACGAAAACGAACGACGACGGCGGGGGCCTGGGAAAGGCGCGCCCGATGGCGGAACAGTTTGTGCTATACCGCTGCTCGCCCAAGGCGAGGCCAAATCTTCCTCCCGAGCCGCGCGCTCTGGCGGTCCCTGGTCCACCTCCTCGGCCCGCGAGCCCCCCTCCTCCCGGAGGTGGTGCCTCGAGCCCAGGCGTGCGACGTCTTGATCTTTTCCCCATGCGGGGTCCCTGGAAGTCCCGACCCGTTCCACGGGACCGGATTTCCATCCTGAATCCATGCTTGACGGTCCCGAGGCCCGGCGAGGGCCCCCCGAGGCCGAAAACGGCCAAAACACTCCCGCCCTGGTCCCAAGCAGTGGCGAAGCGTCCTGGCTCGCCTATAGCCCTACCAAACAATGTGTTGTGGTTTCCACGAAATGATCTTATAACATTTATGGTTGATATTGTCTTGCTTTAACACTTCGGGCTTATGTTCTGAAGCATATTGTTTTTGTTCTTACAATATTTTGGGGTTCTAAGAACATGTCGTGGTAGGACTATAGGAATGCCGGGACGGTCGGTCCCTGCTCAGTGGTCGTGGTGCGGCGCGAGTCGCGTGCTCGCGGCCCCGAGGCCCGGCGAGGATCCCCAGAGGCCGCGCGCGGCCCCCAGACCCTCCCGTTTTGATCGTCGCTGCGACGCGGTGATGTCTGGGAGGGCGTCCGCCCCGCCTCGACCCCCCCCCCCTCCTCCTCCTCCTCCTCCTCCCTCCTCCTCCTCCCTCCTCCTCCTCCTCCTCCTCCCTCCTCCTCCTCCTCCTCCTCCTCCTCCTCCTCTCTCTCCTCCTCCTCCTCCTCCTCCTCCTCCTCCTCCTCCTCCTCCCTCCCTCCTCCTCCTCCTCCTCCTCCTCCTCCTCCTCCTCCTCCTCCTCCTCCTCCCTCCTCCTCCTCCTCCTCCTCCTCCTCCTCCCCTCCTCCTCCTCCTCCTCCTCCTCCTCCTCCTCCTCCTCCTCTCTCCCTGCCTCCCTGCCTCCCTGCCTCCCTGCCTCCCTCCCTCCCTCCCTCCCTCCGCCTCGACCTCCGGGAGGAGGTGGCGGGCCTCCTGCTGGCGACCCCCGCTTGCGCTGCCCGCGGGGGCCCGCTCCTCTCCCTCGGCGGCGAGCGAGGGGGGAAAGGCGAGAAGGAGAAGGCCTTCTCGGAAGGCGGCGGAACCCCTCAGAGGGAAAAAATCTTCTGGGAAGCCTTCTGTTCTGCCTTCGGGGAAGGCTTCCAGAAAAGTTGTCGGAAGGTTTGGGGACTTCTGAACCTTCTGAGAAGGCCTTTTCCTTCTCACCTCCCCCCTCTCGCTCGCCGCCGACTCCCTGAGGCGAGCACCTGCCCGTCCTCGCCCTGGAGACATCGGACCTTCGCGCGCTCGGACAGCAGATCGAAGCACCCGTCGCGGCCGCGGCCAGCGCCGACCTGAGGAGGAACGCTCCAGGTCTGAGGTTTTCGGACGTGTCGTTGGCTCTCGGCGACCTTCCAGCCTCGGGGTGCCTTCCAGCGGCTGCACCTCGTCGAGAGCGTTCGGGGGGTGCCCGAATCGTCCCGAACGGCCGCCGCAGACCCGCGTATGACCCGAAAGCCACTCGGGGACTCCGTCGCGTCGCGAACAAAATCACGCCGGCCTGCTTTTCATGCTTTTCGGCCTCGTGGCCCAGGAAGCCCAGAAGAGGCAGAGGCAAAGCTTGGGAATAGGGAAAGGGAAGGGTAGCGGTATTAGAAAAAGAAAAAGATGCCGTAAGCGTCAGAGTGAGGGGGCCGAACGGTCATTCATTGTCCCTGGGTGCGTGGCTCACATGGAAATTCGTGGTGAGGATTCTGCTTGTTGCGTTGTTGTTGTCGTCGTCGTTGTTGTTGGTGGTTGTTGCTGTTGGTGTTGGTGTTGTTGTGTTGTTGTTGTTGTTGTTGTTGGTGTTGCTGTTGCTGTTGCTGTTGCTGTTGTTGTTGTTGTTGTTGTTGTTGGTGTTGGTGTTGTTGTTGCTGTTGTTGTTGTTGTTGTTATTGTTGTTGTTATTGTTGTTGTTGTTGTTGAACATTATTAATTCTAAAGAATAATTATTGTTGGGCCCCCTGGTGCACGCCCCCCCCGCCGCGCCTAGGCCGCAGCTACATTTTCATCATTTTCGTGAGGAAGCCTCAGGTAATTCGATGTGATCAGATCCGGTTGTTTTGTTCCCCCCCGCTTTCCCTTGCAAAAAACACTATAAAATGACATTTCTTGTTCTAATATAATCAAATTTCAAGAATCCCTTGCAAAAAATAAGGTAAAGTGGACATTCGCGCGCGCAAGACGAAATCCTTCCAAAAGCTTAGTGTTCGGAGCGATTTCAACATAAAAACATCAAAAAACCAATGGTTTTTCAACAAAAAAATGTCAAAATCTCATCCCGCGCGCTCTTGCGGATTCGTAGGAAACCCAACACTTTTTAAACATTTCTGTCAAACGGGCTTTTGCGAGCAACTTTTTCGAACTTCTGCGACAACGGTTGCGCACCTGCCAGGGCCATCATCCCTGTCAAATAATACCATGCGGGACACATTCGTTTTTTCTTCGCGCGCGCACGCCGAAATCTCCAAAAACCATTGGGCTTCTTAAGAATTTTAGCACCGCGCATGTATCATATGCATCATATGCAACAGATGTTCTGTGGAAGGCTTAACAACTTCTGTGGGTTAACAAGGCTTAACAACTTCTGTGGGTGTACGAACGTAGGCTTCAACAACTTCTGTGGGTGTGTACTCCACGCCAGTGTAGTAGCCACGGTCGTCCGCAGCCACGAAGTGAAGTGTCCCAACGTCATAGGGCGGGAAGCTGGGTTTGGGTGGTCGCGAAGAGTCGTTTGGATATTTGGTAGAGCTTGTAATGCCCCCCCACGAAGTGGGGGTATTGCCTGGTGTCGTATGAAAACCCTGGCACTGGGGAGAACACCACGCGTTCGGGTAAAATGATTGTTGTTGTTGTTGTTGTTGTTGTTGTTGTTGTTGTTGTTTGTCGTCGTCGTCCCCCCGCGACTCACCCGCGACCCACCCCGCGACCCACCCCGCGACCCCACCCGCGACCCCACCCGCGACCCACCCGCGACCCAACCCGCGACCCACTCGCGACCCAACCCGCGACTCACCCGCGACCCACACGCGACTCACCCGCGACCCACCCCGCGAGCCACCTTCGACCCAACCCGCGCCCGATCCGCGACCCAACCGCGACCCACCCGCGACCCATTTGCGACCCACCCGCGACACATCCTGCGACCAACCCGCGACCCCACCCGCGACCCAACCGCGACCCAAACCCGCGACCACCCGCGACCCAACCCGCGACTCACCCGCGACCACACGCGACCCACCCGCGACCCACCCGCGAGGCCACCTTCGACCCACCCCGCGCCCGATCCCGCGACCCACCCGCGACCCACCCGCGACCCACTTGCGACCCACCCGCGACCCATCCCGCGACCAACCCGCGACCCACCCGCGACCCACCCGCGACCGATCCACATTCGTTTGAAGAGAAATCGGTCAACATTTGTCCAAAATTGTGGCGCCTGCGGCGGGCTTCTCCAGCGAGACTGCCGACGTCCCCACCGCCCCCTCACTCTTATCCGCATCTGCGGGGTGCTACGTAAACTTTTGGCGCTCCGCGCAGATTTCTTGGATCTGCGCTGGACCCCCCTCCCTGGCGCGCGGAGCGCGCCAGGGGCGGCGCTGGAGGCGCCGCCAGGAGGGGCCCAGCGCGTATCCAAGAAATCGGCGCGGAGCGTCAACAGTTTATGTGTATGGCGTTTTCTCTTCGTCGGGGTATCGGTAATTACTTGTTTCCTCCTCTGAAAGGGTCGATGCATACCCCCCTAAGCCTTCCTGCAGGATCCAACGTCGTCCCGCGGACGTCATGGGAAGGATGCACATCAAGGGAACCATAATGATGTGTTATGTTCTCTACTAGCAGTTACACAATGCAGCTAAGCAATGATCTACATGTAGATCATGGCGTTGCTAGATACCCCCCCCCCCAACGCTGCCCCTGGCAACCAGCTCGTAGCACAGCACCCGCACGTGGGGCCGGCCCACGCCCGCGGCGCCCCCGAAGATGTCGGCCGCCAGCCGGTCCAGCATGCCGCTGGGTCGGGGGGCTGCCGGAGGAGCCCCTGGCCCAGGTCTGCTGGAGAGCCCACTGGCCCCTCGGACGACAGGCAAGACCCCAGACAGGAACATGAACCCGACAGAAAAAACAAAACGAGAGGCAGGAAAACAGAAAAACCCTGCGGGACCCAGACTCCTCGCGCTGTGAACAAAAATCCGCCGACCCCTTGTGGGTCTCTAGGCGTGTGAGATTATTCTCTTGCACAGCTGTGCTCTAGAGCTCGGACCTCGTCATTTTCGCTGGTCGTCGTCCCTGGTCCGGCCCTGGCCCTGGACCCAACCTCCCCACCTGGTCCTGGCCCCAGCCCCCCGGCCCTGGCCCCAGTCCCCCTCGCCCTGGACGCTTTATTTTCGTTCGTCGTCGGCGTCCCCCTGGTCCGGTCCTGGCCCTGGACCCAGCCTCCCCCCCTGGTCCTGGCCCCAGCCCCCCTCGCCCCGCTGGCTCTGGCCCTGGACCCAGCCTCCCCCCCCCCCCCGGCCATGGCCCCAGTCCCCCTCGCCCTGGACCTTGGCTCGTCGTCGTCGTCCCCCTGGTCCGGGCCCTGGACCCAACCTCCCCCCCTTGTCCTGGCCCCAGCCCCTCTCGCCCCGCTGGCCCTGGCCCTGGACCCAGCCTCCCCCTCCCCAGTCCCTGGGATCCTTTATTTTCGCTCGTCGCCGTCCCTGGTCCGGTCCTGGCCCTGGACCCAACCTCCCCCCCTGGTCCTGGCCCCAGCCCCCTTCGCCCCGCTGGCCCTGGCCCTGGACCCGACGAGACCCCACGAGCCCAAGGTTCCAGATCCAAAATGCAAATTATCCCAAAGCGACCCTACCTAGGAGTTGGAGCCCCGAGGAGAGCAATATTAGTAGTAACGGTAAACGCCGTCCTCCTCCTTCTTCTTGCTATGCAATGCTATGCTAGGCTATGCTATGTTATGCTGCGCTATGCTATGCTATGTTATGCTATGCTATGATATGCTATGCTATGATATGCTATGCTGCGCTACGCTATGCTATACTATGACATGCTATGCTACGCTGCGCTATGCTATGCTATGCTATGATACGATATACCATAATATGATATGATATGTTATGCTATGCTGCGCTGTGCTATGCTACGCTATGCTATGCGATGCAATGTTATGCTGCGGTATGCTATGCTATGCTATACTATGCTATGATGCGCTATTGTATGCTGCGCTATGCTATGCTATGCTATGATATGCTGCGCTATGCTATGCTGCGCTATGCTATGCTATGCTATGCTATGCTGTGCTATGCTATGCTAATGCTGCGCTGCGCTAAGCTAAGCTAAACTGAGCAAAGCTAAGCTAAACTAGGCTAGGCTAAGCTAAGCTAAGCTAGGCGAGGTTAAGCTAAGCTAAGTTAAGCTAGGCTATGCTAAGATGGGATAAGCAACGCTAAGCTAAGGGGGCGCAACTGGGGGAGCCGCCCGGGGCGCATTACACTGCCCGGCCATTTGAGCACAGAGAGTAAGAACCCTTCTAGGCAGAGCCTAGGTAGGGAACATGCGCTACGGGCGTGCCAGAATCGTCCCGGGCGGCCCCACGAGGCCCGAGGCAGGACGTGGAATGCAGCCCTGGACGCGCAGTAGTTCATAGAGAGGTCGGCGGATGTGGCGTAAGCCTATAGAATCACGACGGGAGGTTTTTCGCTACTTTCGGCCTCCGCGCGGCCTTACCGGGCCTCGAGAGCGTCGAACAACGACTCATGATGCAAAACCAGTCCCGGGGAAGGGGTCCAGACCTCTGGGGGTCGACGTTGTGGGAAAAAATCTCGACGCCGAGGGTCTGGTCCTGCTCTTCACTCCGCTGTGGGAGAACCCCGCGGGGGGCCCTCTCGGCCTCGTGGGTGCTCCGTGGGAGCTCCCCTGAGCCTGCACCTTCCGCACCTTCCGCGCGGCAGGTGCCGCCGCGATGCGGCCTCGACGGTGGCCGCCGCTGCGGCCGCGGCGGCGGCCGCAGCAGCGCAGCGCCTGCCGCGCGTAGGGTGCAGAAGGTGCAAGTCGAGGGTCCTACAGACCGAGGAAGCACGGCATAGACAGACGTACACTTGCGGAGCTCCGCGCGGACCTCTGGATCGGCGCGGGGCCGCCGCCCTCCCCGGCGCGCAGAGCGCGCCGGGGGCGGCGCCAGCGGCATCGCCAGAGGGGAGTCCAGCGCCGATCCGAGAAGTCCACGCGGAGCTCCGACAACTGGCGCCTGCCCTCGACCTGCACCTTCCGCACCCTCCGCGCGGCAGGTGCCGCGCTGCTGCGGCCGCTCGCCGTGGGCGGGAGGTGACTTCCGCGCGGAGGGTGCGGGAGGTGCAGGCCGAGGGTTTACCGTCGTTTCTACCCCCCGATGCTCTGGAGGCCGTGGTCCAGGGGAGATCCTTGGGCCCTGGGGGCACCTTTCGGCGGCGAGCGAGGGGGGGAAGTGAGAAGTAGAGGGCCTTCTCAGAAGGCGGCGGAACTTCTCAAATGGCCTCGCGCCCTCTGAGAGGTTGAAGTGGTACCTTCCGGGAAGGCTTCTAAAGAACTTCTCGGAAAGGCCGGGGACTTCCGAGCCTTCATGAAAAGGCCTGCCCCTTCTCACCCAGGCATGCGAAGTTCTGATTTTTGTCAATACGGGGTCCCTGGAAGTCTCGACCCTTTCCAGGGAACCAGCCAGCATTTCATCCTGAATCAATGTTTGACGCTCCCGAGGCCCAGCGAGTGCCCCCCGAGGCCGAAAACGGCCAAAAACCACCCCGTCCTGATCTTTATGCGACGCGATGCTGTCTGGGCACCTCCCCCCCTGGGGCTCGCCGCCGAACCTTGGGCCAGGGGCGCCGCTGGCAGCACCCCGCCTGGAGGTGTACGTCTTGCCCGTGCCCGTCTGCCCGAAGAGCAGCAGCGTGGCGCGCCCGCCCGCCGCCGCCTCCCGCAGCAGGGGCCGGGCGGCCGCCTCGCAGCGAGGCGAAGGCAGCGGCGGCACACGGGCACGAGCTTTCGGGGGGGGGAGGGGGGGGAGGGCAAGGAGGAGGAGGAGGAGAAGGAGGAGGAGGAGGAGGGGGAGGGCAAGAGGAGGAGGAGGAGGAGGAGGAGGAGGAAGCGGAGGAGGAAGAGGAGGTGGTGGTGGTGGTGGTGGTGGTGGTGGTGGTGGTGGTGGTGGTTGGAGGGCGGCCTCGACCTGCACCTGCCGCGCCTGCCGCGCGGAAGGCACCTTCCGCTCGCGGTGGCAGCGGCCGCAGCAGCGGGGCATCTGCCGCGCGTAAGGTGCGGAAGGTGCAGGTCGAGGACGGGTGGGGGAGAGAAAATGGTTGCTCTGGTTGTAAAGAGCCCAAATCTCGGGCGAGGGGAGGTGGGCAAGCTAGGTGCGCTCGCGCCAAAACTCACGTCCTATCCCTCCCTCCCATATCCCCTCCCGTGGTATTTTTGTCATCTGCCCGCGGGCGCGTGTCATAGCCGACCTGGGACTCCCAAATACATCCCATCGTGTTATGCGCAATCGGCAAAAGGAAGCTGCGTACATGAGAGGAAAACGAGGAGAAGAAGGAGGAGGAGGAGGAGGAAGTAGGAGGAGGAGGAGGTGGTGGTGGCGGTCTGTGGTGTGGGGGCGGGGGGGCAGGGCAGGGGGGGATGCACGCAGCTGGTTCGCTGACCTCGGATAATTGTTTGATCCGACAGTTTTGATAGATTCCGACCCTCGGGGACCGTTTCCAGGCCCCGCCATCAAAAAACGGACCTGGGGCGACAAACTACTCCTGAGGAAGCAGGCGGGACATTCCTCGGGGGGCCGCGGACTGGAAAAAAGTACATCCGCAGATGGCTGGGAAACAAACGCTGCACAAGCACAAACTGTCTGGGGTCCGCGTGGACTTCTCGGGACGTCGCTGAACGCTGTGTAGCGTACAATTGGGAATTCAAAAAACTGCAGGGGGTGTTTGAAACCCCCACTGTACACTGTTTGTTTAGCCCCCCTCACTGTACACTGCATCTCTCCGCTCCGCCTCCGGCCCCAGCGTCGACGATGCTCCTTCGAAGCTGCACCGGAAGCAAATTGGCCCGAAGATCCCCCTACGGGCGAAACGCTCAGCCTCTTGTTCTTCGGCGGCGAGCGAGGGGGGAAGTCAGAAGGAGAAGGCCTTCTCAGAAGGTTCGGAAGTCCCCCAGCCTTCTGAGAAGTGTTCTAAGCGCTCGCCGCCGAGATCTCCAGACTCGATCCAACACAAGTTTTATGTGCTCCATCCGACGAATATGAGGTCGGGCAAATCATCAACAAATAACAAAACAGCGCGCCAAAAAATAAAGTGAGCAACAAAGGATCAAACATAGTCAAAACAGCACGAAACACCGTCCCTAGTCTTGAATAGTCCTCCCGTGGAGGGACATTGAGGAAAACAATACAACATGCACCTCGCGGCTAAATTTGGATCGTGCGCGGCCGCCCCGCGATCACTGTCAAGTGGTTCTTGACAGGGACAACGGGAGTGATGGCGCGTGGCCTGCTGCGCGCAGGCCCACCAGACACAATTATGGGCATTGCTTTTCGACAAGGATGGTGGGGGCCGACATGTTTCTCGATGTGTGCTGTCACGTGCGCAGGCGCACCTGACGCACCCTGTACGTGCCCCGAACGCGGCGCACCTAGCGCGGCTGGAGTGCGCGGCACACCTGGCGCACTCGGAGCACGTGGCGCATCTGGCGCACCAGGCGTGCCTGGCACGCTCGGGCCCCAGGGGTGCCTGGCGCACGCGGCGCCCCTGGCACGCGTGGCGCACCTCGCCCAAGCGTCGCGCACCTGGGGTCGGCTTCGGTTCCCAGTAGCTGTCCATCCAAAGACGACCGCTGAACATGCTCAGGCTCGGGTGCTACTTTTGTGTAGGGAGGGCGGGTGGGAGTGAGCTAGACGGCTTGCGGGCGGGTGGGTAGCTTGATCACTGTTCCTTGTTAGTATACACCCCCTCCCCCCGGCGACCGGGGAGCAATACAAACCGCACTCTGGCTCCATATTTTGAGAATGCGCGGCAAACCCGATGCGGCCCACCCTCCACCATCCCTGCCAAAAATCAATGCGCAGTACACTTTGAGGCAAAGTCTTGAGTCATGCTCGTGAGGCCCGCGAATACGTCGTATTGTGTTTGAAAAGGACGGCGGGGGTGTCAGCATATTCCATGCTGTGCGCAGGGCTACCACCCCTACAATACAACATGCACCTCGCGGCTAAATTTGGATCGTGCGCGGCCATCCTGCGAACACTGTCAAGTGGTTTTTGACAGGGACGGCGGGGGTGGTGTCGCGTGGTCTGCTGTGCGCAGGCCCACCAGACACAATTATGGGCATCGGATTTCAACAAGGATGGCGGGGGCCGACATGTTTCTCGATGTGTGCTGTCACGTGCGCAGGCGCACCTGACGCACTCTGCACGTGTCCCGAACGCGGCGCACCTAGCGCGGCTGGAGTGCGCGGCACACCTGGCGCACTCGGAGCACGTGGCGCATCTGGCGCACCAGGCGTGCCTGGCACGCTCGGGCCCCAGGGGTGCCTGGCGCACGTGGCGCCCCTGGCACGCGTGGCGCACCTCGCCCAAGCGTCGCGCACCTGGGGTCGGCTTCGGTTCCCAGTAGCTGTCCATCCAAAGACGACCGCTGAACATGCTCAGGCTCGGGTGCTACTTTTGTGTAGGGAGGGCGGGTGGGAGTGAGCTAGACGGCTCGCGGGCGGGTGGGTAGCTTGATCACTGCTCCCTATTAATAAACACCCTCTCCCCCAGGCGACTGGGGGCCAACCAGGGTCCATGCCGACCCCCCCACCATCCCTTGTAAAAAACAATGCAAAACACACTCTGCCTCCAAATTCGGAACATGCGCAGCCAACCCGATGCGGCCCCCCCAACATCCTTGTCAAAAACTATACAGAGTACACTTGGCGGCGGCGGCGGCTGCGGCGGCTGCGGCGGCGGTGGCGGCGGTGGCGGCGGCTGCGGCGGCGGCGGCGGCGGCGGCGGGGGCGGCGGCGGCTGCGGCGGCGGCGGCGGCGGCGGCGGCTGCGGCGGCGGCGGTAGCGGTGGCGGCAGCGGCTGCGGCGGGCGGCGGTTTGGCAGCGGGGGGCGGCGGCGGCGGCGGCGGCGGCGGATTGGCCCCCAGTAGCTGCCCATCCCAAGACGACTGCTGAATATGCTGAGGCTCGGGCCAGACTCGGGTGCTACGTATGTGTTGGGAGGGCGGGTGGGAGTGAGCGAGACGGCTTGCGGGCGGGGAGGGGGTAACTTGACACCTCCCCTACCCGTCCCCTGGACCTGGACGGGGCGCCCCGCGAGGGGTCAGAGCATCTAAGACGGCCCAAGACGGCCCCAAGATGGCCTGAGAGAGCTCAAGAGGACCTCCAAGATGGCACAATACACAAAATAGCCCAAGATGCCTCAAGATGGCTCCTAAGATGCTCCGAAATGCCCCAAGACCGTTCAAAGACGGTTCCAAGTGGCCACGGATCGTCTCACGGAGGCCGCAAGGGGCCTAAGGACACACACACACACACACACACACACACACACACAACACACAACACACAACACACACACACACGCATAGATAGACGCAAATCCCAGGATCCCCAACATATGCTCAACATGTATTGTTTTTTATCTTACCCCCCACTTCCCATTAAAAAACAAATCCTGGGAGTCCTCGATTCGTGTCTGTGTGTTTCCCTCTCCTTATCAGGTTGGCACATTAAGAAGGCACCTGTGGCGGGACAGCCACCACGGAGGGCGGTGGAATCCCTCCCTCGTGCGCGGAGCGTGCCGGAGGCGCCGCAGGCACCGCAAGCGCCGCCAGGGAGCTCCAGCGCCGATCCGAGGAATCCGCTGGGACCTCCCCGTGGCTGGGCGGTGCTGGAGGCGCCGCCAGCGCCGCTCCCGGCAATCCGCACGGACCTCCCCGTGGCGGGACAGCCACAGGGAGGGCGGTAGAACCCCTCCCTCCTGTGCGGAGCGCGCCATGGAGACCAGGCCCTTGGGTCGACCGCAGGGTGCGCTGCAGCGGCGCCTCATCTGGCCGACTGGCCTGGAACGCTAGAAGGAGGTGGATGCCGGCCTGCTTTGGCGGACCGTCGCCATCAGACAGGCGATAGGCCGCCCGAGGGCGCTGGCACCACGCCCCCCGGGAAGGTGAGGGCAGGACGAGGAGGTCGAGGACGTGAAGAGCCAGAGGTAGGGCAGGAAAGGGCTGAGGGATTGGAGGAAGATGAGGTCGAGGCAGGGAAGAGAGTATTAGCAGGGAGGAGGAAAGGTGAACAAGAAAGGAAGTACACCTCCCGTATGTGCACTGTCATGAAGTTGCTGTGTACATCCATCAAGCACGCACACGGAGCGCGCCATGGGGGCTCCAACGCCGCTCCGAGAGATCCGCCCGAACCCCCTGAGGCTTATGCTTATGCCGCTTTTTCTTGACGGGTGCCTCGTAGACCGCGTCGTTGCTCGCGTGCTCCCCGAACACGTGGTCCAGGCAGAAGCGTGAGTGCACCATGTACCGGGTGCGCCGAAGAGGGGGGGGGCCGGGAGAAGGCAAGCGGGGGTGCGCACTGCGCCCCGCGACATGTGCACGGACGGCTGGGGGCCAGCGGATGTGGTGAAAGAAGGGCCGTGATATCGCAGAGATCTCATGGACCTGGCCATGATATCTACCCACACACACACACACGCGCACGCACGCACGCACGCACGCACGCGCACGCGCACGCGCACGCGCACGCGCACGCGCACGCGCACCCGCACGCGCACCCGCACGCGCACGCGCACGCGCACGCGCACGCGCACGCGCACGCGCACGCGCACGCACGCACGCAGACACACACACACACACACAGACACAGACACAGACACACACACACACACACCCCACACACACACACACACACCACACACACACACACACACACACACACACACACGCACACAAACACACC